TCTAGGAGTACCTATACTGGAAATTTGAACAAAAATCATCTTTTAAATGAAATGATTTAAAATTAGAAGTCTATAGCCTTAAAGGATTTTTGGCCAAAATACGTTTTTCTCTGAACTAAAATTTAATGCCTAACTATTTAAGTACATCCAGAATAATACAAGCACCAAGAAATGACTAAAAACCCATATATGAGTAATTAGGCATTGCAAAAAGTAAATAAAATATTCTAAAAATCATTTGAAATACTTAAAAAGCCATTTGAACAAGTTATAATCAAGATATCAAATTTTGTTAACAGATCCTACAGCACATTCAGGAGTACTATACTGAAATTTTGAACAAAATCCATTTTTGGCCGAAAAATGACGAAAATTAAAGTCTATAGCCTTAAAGGATTATTAAAATATGCCGAACTAAAAATTTACGCCTAACTATTTAAGTACATCCAGAATAATACACAAGCACCAAGAAATGACCTCGAAAACCCGCAAGTGGCGAGTAATTAGCATTGCAAAAGTAATTAAATATTCTAAAATCATTTGAACATTTTCTAAAAAGCCATTTCTGAACAAGTTATAATCAAGATATCAAATTTGGTTAACAGATCCCAGCAGCAGCCATTCAGGGAGTACCTATACTGAAATTTTAACAAAATCAATTTTTGGCCGAAATGACGGAAATTGTAAGTCTATAGCCTTAAAGGATTTTTGGCCAAAATACGTTTCTGAACTAAAACACGCCTAACTATTTACACATCCAGAATAATACACAAGCACCAAGAAAATGACTTCGAAAACCCATAAGTGGCAGAGTAATTAGCATTGCAAAGTACTTAAAATATTCCAAAAACCTGCCTGAACATTTTCTAAAAAGCCACGGAATAAGCTATAACCCAAGATATCAAATTTTGGTTAACAGAATTCTTGCTATGTTATCTAGGCACTATACTGAAATTTCAGTTCAAAATCCGCTTTTTTATTTAAAGGAAAATTAAAAGCCTTAAAGGATTTTTGGCCAAAAATTCTTTTTCTCTCTGAACTAAAATTTAATGTGCCTAACTATTTAAGTACATCCAGAATAATACACAAGCACCAAGAAATGACCTCGAAAACCAATAAGTGGCGAGTAATTAGCATTGCAAAAGTAAATAAAATATTCTAAAAATCATTTGAACATTTTCTAAAAGCCATTTGAACAAGTTATAATCAAGATATCAAATTTTGGTTAACAGATCCTTAAGCAGCACATTCAGGAGTACCTATCCAACCCAACCCAACCCACCAAAGAAAAACATCTCACTGTGGCGATAATAAAGACAGAAATATTACACACGACGTAAATAGTAAATCATGTCAAGAAAAAAAACAAGATAAATAAATAAAATAAAATATAATGTTGGTGGCAGTGATAAAAAACAGCCACGGTAAGAGGAGAGAGAGAGAGAGAGAGAGAGAGAGAGAGAGAGAGAGAGAGAGAGAGAGAGAGAGAGAGAGAGAGAGAGAGAGAGAGAGAGAGAGAGAGAGAGAGAGAGAGAGAGAGAGAGAGAGAGAGAGAGACCTTTGGTCGTCGTGGGAAAAGATGGATGAAATGAGGAAAAAAAACTCGTAGGAGATGACACAGTGACACAGGGAAGAGGAGGAGGAAGAGTAGGAGGAGGAAGAGTAGGAGGAGGTAGAGGGGGAGGAGGAGGAGATATGTTGATATTCTAGTCAAGGGTTAGTAGTGGTGGTGTATGTGGTAATGGTGGTAGTGGTAGTGATGGTTGTAGTGGTGGTGGGAGTAGAGATAGTGGTGGGGGTGGTGACAGTGGTAGTAGTGGTAGTAATAGCGGTTGTGGTGGTAGTTGTAGTAGTGATGTTAGTGGTAATAGTAGTAGTGGTAGTAATAATAGTAGCCGTGATAATAATAGCAGTAGTAGTAGTAGTATGCGGTGGTAGTAGTAGTAGTATGCGGTGGTAGTAGTAGTAGTATGCGGTGGTAGTAGTAATGATGTTAATGGTAGTAATAGTAGTGTTGGTAGCCGTAGTGGTAATAAGAGTAGTGGTCGCAATATTAGTAGTGGTTTTAGTAGTAGTAGTAGTATTGGTAGTAGTAGTGAAACACTTCACTTAACCACAGCAGAAAGGTTACTCCTTGCATTACCACCGAGACTGGGAGGAATCCAGAACATCAGAACTCAGTCAAGCTCACGGCAGCCCTCACTGACCACATAATAGCCCAGAATGCAACAAGTCAGGTGGATACCAGGGAATTAAACAAGATTCGACGGTCCATTACGACAGATCGACAACACACCCAAAGTGATAAACTGCAACAAATGATGCTGCAATTGCCAGACTTGAAAAGAAAAAAAAAAGCTATAGCGCAGGAGGTGGGCGCCTCGAACTGGCTATCAGCGTTACCGATAAGAGCAAAAGTTTTCAGCCTTAATAAACAAGGTACGGTAGGTCAGTAGAAGGTTTGCCCTCCCGATGTTTGTGTGGCCCATCCTACGGCACTGACCAAGCGCTGGTGTGTAAGGAAGGGGGCTCCGTATGCATGAGGCGTGACGAATAAATGGATCTCACAGCAAATTTACTGAAGGAAATCTGCCACGACGTCATGGTGGAACCGCCCCTTCTTCTAACGGACGGTGAAAACCTCCATCACAGGACTACCAACACATCTAACGTAGCCCGTGTGGATGTCAGTGCTCGAGGATTCTGGACGTGGGGACAGCGAGCCTTCTTTGATGTCAGGATATTTGACCCCATGGTCGCATGTCACCGTAACTTGTCTCTTGAGACTGCACACAGGAGGAACGAGAGCGACAATATTAGGGAGTATGCGCAGATAATTTAGAATGTAGATCAGGGCAGCTTTACTCCTCTGGTGTTCACAACCACTGGCGGGATGAGACCAAGTGCAAGATGCTTCTTCACAAGACTCGCGGAGGTGTCGTCTGACCAGAAGCAGGAGCCCAGAAGCCACGTTGCAGCCTGGTTGAGATGTCGACTGCCCTTCTTTCTGCTTAGGTCTGCATTGCTTTGCCTCAGGGGAACGATCTCGTCGGTCCCAAAGCCGACAACGGCCGCAGATACTAACTTTGAGGCAACAGTCAGTGAATACCGCATAGATCTGCGGCTCAACTAACTCAACACAGCTAGGGTAGCTACTTTTGTATTAGGATATCTAATTTTAAGGTAATAAAATGGCGGCGAAGGTGTGGCTATTGGGGGAGGCTGGAGGCCATATTAAATAATTAGTAATAGTAGTAGTTGCGGTGGTAGTAATAGTGGTGTTAGTGGTAATAGAAGAAGTAGTAATAGTAGTGGTGGTAATAGTAGTGGTGGTAACAGTAGTGGTGGTAACAGTAGTGGTGGTAACAGTTGTGGTGGTAACAGTAGTGGTGGTAATAGTAGTGGTGGTAATAGTAGTGGTGGTAATAGTAGTGGTGGTAATAGTAGTGGTGGTAACAGTAGTGGTGGTAATAGTAGTGGTGGTAATAGTAGTGGTGGTAATAGTAGTGGTGGTAATAGTAATGGTGGTAACAGTAGTGGTGGTAACAGTAGTGGTGGTAATAGTAATTAGTTAGTGGTGGTAATAGTAGTGGTGGTAATAGTAGTGGTGGTAATAGTAGTGGTGGTAATAGTAGTGGTGGTAATAGTAGTGGTGGTAACAGTAGTGGTGGTAATAGCATCACACACACACAAAGAACTTGTGGACAAAAGCTGTGTTCGTGTGCATGAGGGTAACAACAGGTGCATGAGCCTTATCATCCTAAGGTCCTCTCCCACTATCACTACTACACACACACACACACAGACATACACACACACACCCAGACACACACACACAGACACACACACACACACACACACACACACAGACACACACAGACACACACACACACACACACACACACACACACACACACACACACATACACACCCAGACACACACACACACACACACACACACACACACACACACACACACACACCCAGACACACACACACACACACCCAGACACACACACACCCAACACACACACACCCAGACACACATACACACAGACCCACACACACAGACCCACACACACACACACCCACACACACACACACACACACACACACACACACACACACACAGAGTGGGTGCCCATCCACTCAAGTTGGTGCAGTCTGCCAAACTCCTGGGTGTAACTATAGACAACAAACTGGACTGGAAGGCCCATGTAAATAACATAGTCAAGGCAGCCTCGTACCGTTTCTACATGCTACGAAGACTTAGGTCACTTGGGACAACCCACGCCAGAGCTGAGGACCATCTACAACGCCTGTATTCTCCCCAAACTAACGTCGTCTTCTCTCAACTCCACCCAACAACGTCAGCTAGAGAAGGTACAGAAAAGTGCGTGCAGAATCATGCTCGGCGCAGAATACTCCGGCTACACCAACGCTCTCTCCACCCTGGAAATGCCATCCCTCAGTGACCTCCACCACCAAGCACTGGAAAGGTTTGGCCGTGGACTACTGCACCACCCTCGTCATCGCCACCTCCTGCCTACCACCCAACTCGCGCAGTCCGCCACTACAACAAAATTTAGCCCATAAGAGCTCGCACCGATAGATATAAGAACAGCACCATCCCATCTATTGTTAAAATAATAAACTACCCCTGATTTATGTACTGTACAGCCCTGTAAATGTATGCAAAGCATTATATATCATTATGTCTAAATCAAATGTAAGCCTGTATATTTTCAGCCACCGGCTGCAACTCTATTAATAAACCGTTTATTATTTTTATTATTATTATTACACACACACACCTCCTCTTATTGTGAGAAAGAACACGTGAAATACTGATAAACAAAAAATACTTGGGTAAAACTTCTATTTAGCTGAAAAAGTATTACTGCGCAGGACCTCCCTCGCCCCCACCGACCTCTCTATCAGTCTGCCGTGTGTTTATCAGGTGTTGGTTGTGAGAACTGACAGGTGTTTGTAGCGGAGGCGCATATATCAGGTACCAGCCAGTCAGCCCCTACACACTTCGTTACTGTGCAGCATTCAGTATGGAGTACAGTTGGGTGTTCTTATTGGTAATCTCTGGTAAGAGGTCTAGTGGCCGTATTATTAACTCTCTCTCTCTCTCTTTCTCTCTCTGCCTATGTCTCTCTCTCTCTCTCTCTCTCTCTGCCTGTCTGTCTTTCTCTCTCTGTCTCTCTCTCTCTCTCTCTCTCTCTCTCTCTCTCTCTCTCTCTCTCTCTCTATCATGTATCACCTTGTTAACTCATGTCTCTCCTCCCTAGTACCATGTATCACCTTGCTAACTCGTGTCTCTCCCCCATAGTACCATGTATCACCGGGGCTGAGGTGTTCCAGCCTAGGACAGGTGAGTAAATGTGTACCAAATACTTAAACCAGATTGTATTGTACCTGTTGTAGTTGTTATTGTTGTTGTTGCACTAAATTTTGTATTCCCAGTTATTGTATTATAATCTGTAGTTGTAGTAGTTTTATTATTTTCTTTATCAGTTGTATTTGTTCATTTTTTTGTTTTACCAGCTGTAATTGTTCTTGTTTACGTTGTATCAGTTGTAATTGTACTTGTTTTTTGTTGTACCTAAGAGTTTAAAACCTTGGGCGGTGGGCCGTGATCATCAACCCTCAGGCTAGATGACTGTCACCTTGACTGATTGATTCGGTCCACAGAGAAGGGGTTGTAGGATTTAGGTTAACGCTAATATGTGAAAGGAAAATATGTTGTTCCTATTATTATCCAGTTTAGGTTAGGTTAGGTTTAATGAATACTTTGTATGACACCTGCTGTCAAGCAACGCGTACTGGAATAAAGATTTCTCCTCCAGACTGTGAGCCGCCCTTTCAGCTCATCCATGGAAGCTGTCTATTTGTTAATAACGTCGACACCGGGAGCTGGGAAGAGATGAGGGACATCTGCATCCTTTTTGGAGGCGACCTGGCCAAGATCGACAGCGCTGATTTGCTTGACGATCTCATCAGATTCATCGAAGACAACAGTATGTCAACACTTAACTCAGTACTGTTCAGGTTTACTCGTCGAAAGAACAGGTGTTCTGTACAAAACGAAATTGACTCAGATGAGACGATGGTAGCGCCATTTATTTCACCCGTCACGTTAGATCATTCTTTGGTCACTATGTCGTAAAGTTTTATTCTATGGAAGTTCAACGTCCTGTTCAAAATGTTCATTATTTATTGATATTTTTTGTGTAAGGACAAACCCCATATAATTATATAATTAATACATTTATATACTAGACTTATATACTAGACTAGAAATATACTAGACTTAATGTAATTTACCACTTCCAATAATGTGTGTGTGTGTGTGTGTGTGTGTGTGTGTGTGTGTGTGTGATTAAGGTTACTTTATATATAATTTGTATGTTTAATTTTTCTCGAGTTTATCATTTATTTTTTCCTTGTATCCTTAAAATGAACTTTATTTGGTGAACTGTTAAAAAGATAGAAGGATTGACATTATTAATCACTGGTTGTAATTATGTCTACAGATCTAAACAACGTCCATTACTGGATTGGCGCTACAGATACAGACCATGAGAATTACTGGAAGTGGACTGACCTCACGCCAGTCACTCTTGGGGCCAGGTTTTGGGCCGTGATATGCCCAGGACACAACCTAAAGCCACATCGTGATAATGCAGCTGTTAACTGTGCGCTTATGGACGCAGGGTATTACTATATGTTTTCTGATTATTATTGTGATGGTCATTCCGCCTCACTACCGGTGGGTATGATCTGCCAGATGTGACCTTCACCTCTGTAAGATCTGCCAGATGTGATCTTTCACTATATTGTATAATGAAATAAAGATAAATACCAAACTCATTGTATGATATAATAAAGATATACACACAAAACGTATGTCATAAACTGTTGAAAGGGAAACATTTTTAAACAAAGGAGAAATTTATAATACAGGTGATCTAAAGTCACTGTGCACCTGCAGTAATTAAGAATAGTTATTTATTTTCTTCTACTTACAGTAAATATTGAGAATGGTAATCACTTCTAACCTAACCGTAACCTAACCTACCAATGGCAGATGCAATGTGAAAAAAAAAAAAATTATCCTCACACAAAAATCTCTCGTTAACAGGTCCGTTCTTGGCTTAAAAATGGTCACGATAATAATTCAATCTAAACCTATCTCAACTTAACCTAACCTAACTCAACTTATTCTAAACTAACCTAACCTAACGACACGGGCGGAGGGGGGGGGGGGGAGGATACTAGGCCAAGGTTCACACAAGTAGCATACACTAATGACCTCACAGGAGCAGGCAGAGTCGAGGATATAAACTGGTTAATCCTTGTAATAATCACGTGGTTCACAAGTACCAGCATATGTTTCCTCATTGTGAAGGAAAAAAATTACGACCGGTGTAACAGACCAAATTATACCCCGATTATAAAGTAACTTCCTTTTTAGATATTTTAAATTTCAGAAAACCACCAATAAATATTGAGTTGGTATTCTAGGATAAACTGTACTTAAGCCTTATAATGCGGTAGTAAAGTTTCCATTGCTTCCTCCAGAGTTAATTGTTTGGTGTTTTTTGATAAGTCTGACGAAAGAAAAAAAATTCACGTCATATTCATAGTGTACAGTCGCCTCTCCTACTGCTTCATGGATCCTGAGATTCAGACTCGTGAACCCGAAGCAGTACAAGGGAAAGCCGAAATTTGGAATAGTGGGCCGTTCCTAGTCTAAAAGTAGCATGTTGTCAGGGTATTGTGGCTGTACCCTTAGTCTGTGTGTGTGTGTGTGTGTGTGTGTGTGTGTGTGTGTGTGTGTGTGTGTGTATACAGAATATCTAATCAAACTGAGACGACCTCCTCGCTTGCGCCTCAGCACATGATGGACGAAATAATCTGCGGCGAAATTAAAAAAAAAAAATATTAAAACCTCATCTGACAGGTTACAAATATTGCCTACGAACCGGTACCATGGCTGGATAACGATCGAACTATTGACGATGTTACTGTGAATTAGTGTAGTCAACCCTGAAAACTCTCATACCATCGTTTTCTTTAACTCCCATATTGCACTATCATCATGGTAACACTTGGTAAATTTTGGCGTTATTTCTACCCAAATTTTATCATAAGGACCTTTCCACATGTTGATGAAACCTGACAAGTTAGGGACTAATCCGTAAACCCGTTCTAGAGTTGGTTTGGGAACACAGAGAAAGACAGACAACCCGACAACAACACAAAGCCCAGAGAGAGAGAGCAATAAAATGGTGGTGAGTGGACGAGATATAAGCACAGCAGGAGCCACAGTAATAGTCTCACATGAGGATAAAGGCAGGAAGTAATGTTGTAGCCCCCTAAGAGGGTTGATGGCCTTACAAGACACCAAGTGAGGTACTGAAGCAACATTTACCACCATGTCGGCACACTCTCTCACTCTCTCCCCGTCAGTCACAACAAGTACTCTTAAAACTGTCAGCTGAGGTTCCTCGTGCTATGGACTGGAGCTTAGTTATTACCTCGTATGTACTCTGTTATTACTCTACACTGAAGGATCGACCTGGATTTTTAAACTGTTTGAGGTCACGAAGAGGTTTGAACTACAAGGCAAAGTAGATGTTATAAGTCTTGCTCTTAGCCCCAAGGTGAGTCTCTGAACACACTAAGTGATATGTGTAGCTGAAGGTAAAATCTAGATGCTAAAACCAGAATGTAGGAATAAGTATTGTTGAGTGATACGTGAGATAGAGATGGTAGTTACAGTGTAGGACAGACATACTAAGAATCGCCTCGGTGTGTATGTGTGTGTGTGTGTGTGTGTGTGTGTGTGTGTGTGTGTGTGTGTGTGTGTGGCCCATTGAAGAAGTTTAGTGGGTCAGAAGGAAGCCTCGTGAGTGGGACACATTTACTGCTCCAAGACACTCACTCTCTTTATGGGTGACGCTTCCTTGACCATGACTGAGGAAGGTCTCCCCTAGGATGGTCTGGTCTGAGTAACGGGCTGTGCGGACCTCCTCAGTGAATGGTTCCCTGGCTGTAGCTGAGGTCAAAAGTAGTAAAATCCTTGGATCTGAAGAATCTCCACTCCAACTTATTTCATCTAAAGATTAACCTCCCTTATGCCAACCTAACCTAACCCAACGTAAACTCAACAAAAAGAGTATACAAATGACCCGTTTTCGTGATACACCAATGATTTTATACTATTAGCTAAACATACTATATAAAAACAAGAAAGGTCCCATAATATACAAGATATTACCCGTACTCCATCACCCTCCTCTTGGCCTCCAGATAAACACTCGTATGTATGCAAACGCTCCACTGACCTTATGGTAAGACATATTTCACTGAACAATTTTACGGTTATTACTTACGGTGGAAAAAATATGGTTGAGAGAGAGAGAGAGAGAGAGAGAGAGAGAGAGAGAGAGAGAGAGAGAGAGAGTTTACATGATTCTCAACTACTTTATAAAGGCTTCTGTTACCTGATATTACCTGCAGTTTGCCAGGTATATAATAATCCAGGTATTTAGCTTATGTCCTCCGGCCTACGGGAAACTCGACAGATGTGTAATAATTTTCGGTAATATTTCATGTTGTTGACGCCCTAAAAATCGACCTCTTGGTAGATTATGTAGCTTTATTCTGTAATCTGCTGTTCCTCCTAAATCTGTTGTCTCGTAATCTGCTGTTCCTCCTAAATCTGCTGTCTCGTAATCTGCTGTGTCTCGTAAATTTGCTGTCTTCTGGAGCATAATCCTTGAGTACGATGACTTAGCTCCTTGAATACAATGTGTCCCACTCAACGAACAGGTCCCCGTACTCATGATTCAAGTCATAGTACAGCAGAACTCAAGAGGTAAATATAATCATTGTACTCTGGGCTAACTCACTGTACTCAAGGGCTCTGGTCTCGTACTCCGGGTGCTGTAAGAATCTGTATCGCTGCAGCTGTGTTTTTACCTCAACAACCTGTGGCAGCTACCTATCATAGACTTGTATTAATTAACTTCCCGCTTCTCTCCAGTTAAGTGAGACTGACACAACCAAAGTAAGGTAAGGTAAGGTAAGGTAAGGTAAGGTAAGGTAAGGTATCGAAAACTTATCATAATTCAACGCAATTTGTGGAATTCCTCAAAATATCTAAACACATTACATAAATTCAAACCCTTAGATACAATTTTCATTACCACACACACAAAAAAAAATATTTAAATCATCTTAAAAATCAAAATTACTTAATATCTTTACTATAAAAAAAAACATTTCAAGAAAGTAAAAACAAGAAAAAAAAATACGTATATATCTCACAAGGGAAGACTATCTCTCTCTCCTTGATAATTCAGGTCACGCGTGTACACCCTACCCCCCTCCCCACCCACCCACCCACACCCACACCCACCTCAGCCGTTCACGAGATTAATAAAAAAACCAAGATTTTATATTTCACTTAAGTTACCAATTGTTACAAGAGAGATAAGGGTAGTGTTGAAGGTGTAGGTTAGTGTACTAGTGTAGTGTTGAAGGTGTAGGTTAGTGTACTAGTGTAGTGTTGAAGGTGTAGGTTAGTGTACTAGTGTAGTGTTGAAGGTGTAGGTTAGTGTACTAGTGTAGTGCTGAAGGTGTAGTATAGTACGGGAAGGGGTATCTGTCTGTCTGTGTCGGTGTCTGCCTGTCTGTTGACCTTTCTGTGTATGTCTGATTGTCTGTATGTCCGTCTATCTCATATTCAACATCTTACAGTACATCTAAGTAAAGGTACATAGCCAAGTAGTAATGTTTTGCCTGATGAGGATAAGATAAACACCAAATAGAATGAACTCATATGATCCTTACTGACCTAACCTAACCAAGTTCAAGTTACAATCCGATTGTGTTGTTTACTCTTGTACACTAAATAGGTTAATGAACTTTTAAGCCCAGGTGGTAAAGTTAATCACCTGTAAACTGTAAACCCACACACGTATTAATTATCCCTGACACCTTGATATAAATAAACTCTCAGACTGGTCGCTTACATAAACAAACACGGTTATTCAAGATACCACTGACAACGGAACTGATAAGAGTCTTGTTTCGTTTTAAGTAGTTTAGCAGTAGACGGTTGTTAGTGGCTGTATTGTTCTATTGTTCGGAGGAAGAATAGAGTGAATTGTATTGCCTTGTATTTTTGCATAGAAAGCTAAGACACTGAATTGAAATGACTAAAGATTATTGGAAAGAAATATTAGTCTTGTTGGCTTGAAGAGAGCTCAGTTTATATTGATATTGTTAGTATCATAGTATATTTTTTTCTGAAGAGATTGAAGGGCAGATAAAGTCAAGTGTTACGAGAGAGTGTTGACCCATTGCGAAAACACACCAGTAACACAAACATCACCATCAACACACACAGATAAACAACAACACTCCCAACACCACAACACAACAAGTCTTCAACACCAAATAACATCCTAAGAAGATTTTAACATCCAACAGAAGAAAAATAATCACATACGGGTGTTTCAAATGACTTCATACATCTTGACCAGTGGCTGTCAGTGTATGTGAGGCTTTATGAGGGGAAAATATGGCCAGTAAAGTGTATGTAAATGAGTGAGGCCAACAAGAGAGAGACGCCTGGGTGAGTGGAAAAGGTTTATAGCGCACAACAGCGGCCTGAAACGCCTAGCCCTCATCTTTTATGTGTCGTAAACCCTGATACGTCGAGGACTCCACCCTGTTTTGTCCTGTCCTGGTGTGTGAGGGTGGATGAGGAGTGGGTGGATGACTAAGTGGATGAGGGTGGGTAGAAGGGTGGGTATACACAAACAAACAAACAAACAAACACACACACACACACACACACACACACACACACACACAAAAGGTTCATCAG